CATCAATGTTTCTAACTCTCTATCCCTCTCCCTTCCTCTCTGTGAAAAATCAATAAAATATTTTTTAAAAAATAAAAATATGTGACAAACTAAATCAGAATAGAAAACACGGGAAAAACGATAGCAAGTGTGTCGCTGTCTTGATAAACATTTCCCTCTGGACGAATGTGCGGCCTCCAGGCCCGGCGAGGGGAGCGCTGAGCTGGCGGGAGCTGTGATAGTTGGGGAGCGCGGCCGCCCTGGGAGGCGCAGCTGCGTCTTTAACTCAGCAGCGCCTCAGCTCGCCTGGGTTCTGAAGCGAAGACCTGTGTGTGGGCTTCAGAAACCCTGTGCATCTCTTAAATGTGTATCCACACGTGTGAGCCGCACGTCTTTCTCGGGACAGGATCCAAAGCTTCTAGATCTCTCCCCGGGATCACTCTCCCCTCTGAGGAGTCAGCTTCGTGACTCAGTAAACTTACACTTCCAGTAAATGAGGAAGCAGTCCTGCCGCGCAGGTGAGAGCAGTCACCCCCAGTCATGTAGCCCAGTCGTGCGGTGCCTCCTGTGGACACAGCGGAGCTGGGGAGGGGCTCCTGGGGAGACGTGTTGAGGGCGGACACGTCCACTTCGGAAGGTCGAGCCCATTGACTCCGAGTGTCAGGGTGCTGACACCTCTGCTGAGGCCACTGGGGCCCGGGCATGGGGCTGGCTCTGCTCTGAGCTCCCAGCCGAGGCATCTGCTTGTCGCTGAGGCCGCTGGGGCCTGGGCACGGGCCTAGCTTGTCGCTTTGTCGCTGGCGGGCTCAGCGTGAGGGAGCTGTGTGGAGAGAGAGGGTGTTTGGGGCTGGGCCCTGCAGGCGACTAAACGCAGACTGCTCTCCGTGCGGCCTCTTACAAGCTCAGTGTTTCCCCTTTTCTCCTCTGATCTGGGTAACTCAGTGACAGGCGTGTCTCCTTCTGTAATATTGGTAAATGTGTGGCGGAGCTTGCATTTCCCATCTTAGCCATCAACAGCCCCTTGGCTACAGGCCGTGGTTACACGCGGATCGGCCTTTAATAAATGCTGAAATGACCCCCCTTTTCTCCTCTGATCTGGGTAACTCAGTGACAGGTGTGTCTCCTTCTGTAACTTGGTAAATATGTGGCGGAGCTTGCATTTCCCATCTTAGCCATCAATAGCCCCTTGGCTACAGGCCGTGGTTACACGCGGGTCGGCCTTTAATAAATGCTGAAATGACACACAAAGCAAAGCTGATTGCTTTCAGGATTCGAGAGACTAGAAACCCTTTTCCTTCCTTGGGAAATTCTGAGGGAGAAGCCCTGGGTCTTGGGTCCGTTTTCTCTGATGCTCTCACTAAGCTCCAGGCGACCGTGGCTTCATTTCTTCCCCTTTGGGTTTTGCTCTAGTTTCTGGGTTAGTGTGTCTTACACAGAAGGGTGAGCTTAGGGACCGGATCTCACACCCATGTGTCACTGCCCGCTTGTTCCTGCCTGGTTCCTGTGAGGGTCCTGTCAGATGGGACTAAGTTGCCGCCAGCATTTTCAGGACCGGTGCATGGGTGGGTAACTGTGGCTCTTCCAGGAGATGGCCCTGTGTAAGGAAGTGAAGTCTCTCCAGATGGTCCCGTCCTACCTGGTGCAGCCCCTGAAGGCCAACGCGTCGGCGCACCTGGCCCTGAGCCAGGTGGCCCTCCTGTCCCGGCTGCTGAGAGACCTGGGCACCGACAGCACGGGCTTCACCGTGGAGAACGTGATGAAGGTAAGCGTGGGAGTGTCTGTCGGAGAGGGGATCGTGCCTGGCGACATGTCTGGGACAGATTGCCGTAACGCAGCTAAATGGGTTGTGACAAATGACAGGCACGAGTGTTCAAAGCATGGCTTCAGAATGACACACTCGGGGATGTGCACTGCGAGGTGAAGGCGCAGGCAGGCCCTCCCAGAGAACCCGCCTCCAGGGAGGCCGCGGAGCCTGTCGCCAGGAAGGCCAGCGCTTTATTGCTAAGAGCAGAACCTGTAACCCTGGCTAACGCAGGTGGCGAGGCCTGGACTGATCCTACCTCCCCTCCTCTGCCTAACGGTGTGTGATGCGCGATGTCACACGTAGGGAAGGATGCACCGAAAAGCGATTATGGACACAGGGCGTGGATGAGAGCAAAACCAGCTCTGCGTCCCTCCCGAGGCCACGTGCCTGTGAGGCCGTCGCAGAGGGCACTGTCCTCACCGCGGAGCCCTGAGGGCCCTTCGTTCCCTCTGCTCTTGGGGTGACGCCGGCCCTGCCTCTCCGTTCAGTTCGCAGTGCGCGCCCTGCAGCACCGGGTGTTGCAGGTGCGGGAGATGGCGGTCTGCGTGATCCTGGACCTGTACCGGCAGCACCGCTCCGTCGTGCTCGAGTACCTGCCCCCTGACGACAGCATCTCGCGCAAGAACATCCTCTTCAAAACCATTTTCGAGGGGTTTGCTGAAATCGACGGCAGACCCACGGATGCTGAGATCAGGGTACGGGGACTTGGGAGTCCGGTCTGGTCCTGCTGAGGAGGAGGTCAGGCAGGGCAGTGAGCCGAGGGGATGCAGGAGCCCCGCCCGAGGCCTCGTGCCTCCCTCGTGCCTGCCAGGCCTTTCCCCACCCGGAGAGACGATGGCGTGAGGACATGCTCTTACGTCACCTGGGAGCTGACCTTTATCGCTCCCCATGTGATCAGTCGTAGCGACTGTTACCGCGCGAGAAACAGCCGACACGTGTGACTTGTCTCCCAATTCAAAGATGACTCTAAAAAGCTGTTCTGACGGGAAAATCATTTCATACCAGGCACAGAAAAGAGCAGCCACAGAAGAAGCAGAGAAACAGAAGAAAGAAGAAATTAAAGCTCTACAGGGGCAGCTGGCAGCCCTGAAGGAAATGCAGGCCGGGGCCCAGGTGGGCGGGTGCTGGCGACGGGTGAGCGATTCGGGGGCCGGGGGGGTGGGAGGTGGCCTTGACAAAGGTGGGTTTCCCTGGAGTCCTGGGCAGGCCCTGGAGGGAGGCCCGGGGAGGAGACCGCAGA